ATGTGAATTAAACATTTACCTCAAGTAGACACACGCCCTGGAGAGAACAATCATGGGAGAAGGAAGGGCTGCTTATGCACAGGAAGACAGCTCAGGGCACAGAAGAGTATGGAGGGATGGACACTGGGAAGAGGTAACTATGGGGAGGAAGTGGGAGGGGAGCCGTTGCATTGTAAATTTTGGTCAATGACACGAGACAAAGTATATTATGTGAACTGCTGTATGAAAAGTGAATTTACGCTGTAAATCTTCACCCAAATCAAAATAAAAAAAAAAAAAATTATGAAAGGAGAATTCTTTCAAACTGTTTAAGAGGAGTTTAATGAATACTTTTGAGTTTGACACAGTGTTAAGCAAATATAAGGAGCCCTAGTGGCACAGTAGTTACATGTTCGGCTGTTAAGCAAAAGATCAGCAGTTTGAACCCACAAGCTACTCCATAGAAGAACGATGTGGCAGTCTGCTTCCTTAAAGATTACCACCTTGGAAACAGCACAGGGCAGTTCTGCTCTATCCTATAGGGTTGCTATGAGTCAGAATCGACTCAACGGAAACAAGTTTGGTTTGATTTTATTAGGCAAGTGTTAAGTTCTACGGATACACATCAATACCAGATTAAAAGCAGGGACAGAGTTCAAATTAAGGTAGCTCATTTCCCATTAATGTAGTTGACTTAAAAGTGGACAGCCTTATAACAAACTATACAAAAACACTGTTCTACATCCTACTTTGGTGACTAGCAACTGGGGTCTTAAAAACTTGCAAGCGCCATCTAGAGGCAACAATGGATCTCTCCTCATCTACAGCAAAGAAGAATGAAGAAAACCAAAGAGGCGTAGAAACAATTAGTCCAAGGGGCTAGACGACCATGTGATACTCAGTCTATATGACCATGAGACCAGAAGAACTAGATGGTGCCTGACTACCACTGTCAACGACTCAGAAAAGGATTAGCATAGGAGATCTTAGATAGAGTGGGAGAACACTGTGGAACAAAACTAAAAATCATTAAAAAAAAGACCAGGTTTACTGGCCTGATGGCCTGATAAAGCCTGGTGAGACCCCTGAGACTATGGCCCCTAGTTACCCTTCAGGTCTGGAACAGGAATGTGTAAGAAAGAAGGACACAGGAAGAGGAAATTACAGGGAGGAAGTAAGAAGAGAGCTGTTAAATTGTAGGGAATTGCAGTAAATATCATAAAACAAAATGTGTATGAACTACTGTAAAGAAAATGAATCTGCTCTGTAAACTTTTGCCAAGACCACAATAAAAATTAAAAAAAAAAAAGAAAGGCAAACAGCCTTTTCTACCAGATACCACCTTGACTGTTGGAATGGGTAGCATAGTTAGTTAGTTGGCTCAAAGGCTAGTGTTACAGAGCTATACAGATCACTGCTCTTCTGTGTTATTACAGGGTGGTGGGAACATGTCAGATGTCATGATGTTAAGTGCTCATTTTGAAAGAAGATATAAATTCAGTCATTCTATTGGTCAAATATTTATTTGTTCCCCATTTACACTATCAATTTAGATCAAGAATTATTAAAAATAATACTTGTAAGACTAAATCCTAGTCCAGGTAAGGCTGCATTGTGGCCCTGCTGTAGACGAGCTGTATTATCTTGGGTACTATATTTAACCCTCTGAAGCTCAAGTTTTTTTTTTTTTAAATGAGGTTCTGGACTACTGTTAATTTCAACTTGAAAATTCTATTAAATAATTGAGAAATGTGAGAAATAAACTTCATTTGAGATTTCTAATAACAGTGTATATAAAATATATTAAGAATGGAAATTCTAGACATGAGCACTGAACTGAGAAACACTGAAAGTCCTATAACTATTATTTTATATGATCCTAAGTTTACCTTTGTAACAGTAATGAAATCTGGTCCAAAGAAGACACTTTTTACTCCTTCAATCCTGAATAACTGCCTGTGAATAAAGAAAAAATAACAATAAAATGTTTTATTATTGAAAAGTTTAAACACACACAAAAGTAGAGGGAAGAGTAAAAGAATTTCCATGTACCACAGTGAACAATTACCAACTCATGGCTAATTTTGTTTCAGCAATGCCCTCTTAATTACCCAAGAGAAAAGAAATCATATGCTCCACAAAGACTTGCACAAGAATCTTTTATAGCAGCTTTATTTATAATTATAACAACAACAAAAATATCCTGGAAAAGTCTACCAGCTAGTGAATGAATAAACAGACTGTGGTATGTCCATACAATGTATTACTACTCAAAAACAAAAATGATTAATACACTGTACTCCCTGGTTTCAACAGTTTCTTGATTTTGCTTGTTCCCCGCCCAGATTACCTTCTTGGTGACCAGCAGTCATAGGGGTACTTCCTGTTGTTCCAACATGATTTTTCATATCGAAGTATGCCGAGACTAGCAGTCATAGCTGTGATTAAACTGGATCAGTGCTACAATCCATCGTGCTACAATCCATCCCGGCATCCTTTTCCCTGCCATTTCAACTATTAGTGATAACACCAACCAAGGAACTGTATGCCCTACAGGATAAGTTGGTTTGGTTTGGGTATCCTTGGGATAAAATTCAATTTGTTAATGTCCAAAAGAAAACATGCCATTCAAGGGACAACAATTAGTCACTATTCATCTGGAGCAACAAGAGGAAGAAGAAGAGTGAAGAATAGGAGGAGGAGATGGAATGTGTGGCTAATTGCCTCCTTTTCCATGAGACTAGAACTATATAATGCCTAGCTACCAATACTGAAAATTTTGATCAAAGATTCCACAGAAGAATCCTGGTCAAAAGGGCTAAAATACAGAACAGAATATAAAATTCTCATGAGAAGGAAGCACAGTGGTAGGAAGCACTACTGAACAATGAAAGAAGCATCAAAAGAAGACAGAAGAAATAAAGAGTTACTGTACCAAAAAGAATTGGTCAACATTCAACGATTTCAGGAGGCAGCAGATGAACAAGAACCAATGGGATTTAAGCAAGAAGTCCAAGCTGCACTGAAAGAATTAGTAAAAAACTAGGCTCCAGGAATGAAAGAAAGATCCACTGAGATATTTCAACAAACAGATGCAGAACTAGAGGTGCTTACTTGCCTATGGAAAGACATTTGGAAGACAGCTACCTGGCCAACTGACTGAAAGAGATCAGTATTTCTGCCCATTCCAAAGAAAGGTGATCCAACAGAATGTGTAGATTATCAAACAATATCATTGATATCACATGCAAGTAAAGTTTTGCTGGAGATAATTCAAAAATGGTTGCAGCAGCATACTCATAAGGAATTTCCAGAAGTTCAAGCTGGACTCAGAAGAGAACATGGAACAAGGGATATCACTGGTGATGTCAGATGGATCTTGGCTGAAAGGAAAGAATACCAAAAGATATTTACCTGTGTTTTACTGACTATGTAAAGGCATACTGTGTGGATCATAACAAATTATGAATAACATTGAGAAGAATGGGAATTACAGAACACTTAATCGTGCTCATGAAGAACCTGTACATAGATCAAGAGGCAGATGTTGGAAATCACGAAGGGTGTATGTCAGGGTTTTATGCTTTCACCATATTTGTTCTATCTGTATGCTGAGCAAATAATCTGAGAAGCTAATCTATATGAAGACTGCCAAAAGAAAAAACAAGTCTGTCCTGGACGAAGCATAGCCAAAATGCTCCTTAGAAAGAATGGCTACAGCTTATCTCACCTACTTTGGTCATGTTGTCCCTGGAGGAGTATATTATGCTTGGTAAAGAAGAGAGTGGGAGATCTGGTAGCATGGTGCCTTAAGGCACTTGACTGCTAACCAGAAGGCTGGCGGTTCAAACCTACCAGCCACTCCTCGGAAGGAAGATAGGGCAATCTACTTCCGTAGTGATACTGCCTCGGAAACCCAAGGAGGGGTTGCTATGAGTCGGGTCTGACTTGACGGCACATAACAAAAACAACAACAAAGTAGAGAGCCAGTGAAATAGGGGAAGACCCTCAATGAGATGGATTGACACAGTTGCTGCAATGATGGACTCAAGCACAGCAATATTGTGAGGACGGTGCAGGACCGGGCAGTGTTTTTTTGTTGTACACAGGGTTACTATGAGTTGAAGACGACTCGATGGCAACTAACAGCAACAACAGTGAGTTATGAAATCAAATGTGTAGTGAACAGAAATTTTATTTAATGAAATAAAACAGAACAGAATAGAATAAAGGGAAGAGATGAACAAATAAATTGTAAAGGTGAAAATTATTTCATAAAACATTTGTTTCATACACACGTTTGTGTGTGTCAATATATAAAATGTTACATAAATGTAAAACATTTCTTACTGTAGTTTTTATAAAAAACTTTGAAAACTGCTGTAAAGCATACTCTAAGATGTACAATGTTTAGGTCAAGGGAAATGTGCATTTTTACTAATTAGAATTTTTTAAAACTGAAAAATTAAAAACTATCCCTGAGCTTAGACTATTTCTGGCTGTCATAAATGAAACACATAAAATGGCTGTACTGTTAGATAAATATTAGGAATATTTATCTAAACTACATTTTTCAAATATTCTTCACAATAAATACTAAGCTTAGTTTACCAAAAATCTCAATCAATACTAATTCTAGTATTTCTTATTATAATTTCTGTAGTTATTAGTTAAAAAAGAAGTTCAATCCAATACTTTATTCCTTTATCACTAACATATCTTTAACATGTCTTTAATCTAGTAAATTAAAATCCATCAATTTGATAATTATGGTACATTTTCATTCAAATCTTTAAAACTTTTTTTTTTTAATTTTTGTTGTGATTTGGGTGAAAGTTTATTCATTTTCCATACAGCAGCTCACATACACTGTCTCATGGCATCGACTGCAGTTTCTCACAATGCAACAACAGCTCCCCTCCCACTTTCTCCCCATAGTTACCTCTTCCTTGTGCCCTTCCCTCCCAGGCTCTCCTGCCCCCTGAGCTGTCTCCCTGTGCATACAAAGCTCTTCTATTCTCCCATGATTGATCTCTCCAAGGAGTTTATCTGCATAATGTAAATGTTCAGCTCATATGCCTGTCTTTTGTTAGGCTGGAAGCCACAGGAGTAGATTCAATTCCAGACCTCAAGGGCAGCTAGGGGAATATTCAGCTGGAATATTCAGCATATAGATTGAATTAAGTCTCAGGGATTCCAACAGGCTCTATCTGACCAGCAAACTTTATTGTTGTTGTTGTTGTCGTTGTCGTCGTTAGGTGCCGTCGAGTCCTTTCCAGACCCACAGCGACCCCATGCACAGGAGAACGAAACACTGCCCGATCCCGCGCCAGCTCCACGATCCCTGCTATACTTGAGCCCATCATTGCAGCCACTGTGTCAATTCATTTCATTGAAGGCCTCCCCCTCTTTTGTCGACCCTCCACCCTACTAAGCATGACGTCCTTCTCCAAGGAATGGTCCCTTCTGACAACATGACCAAAATAGGTTAGATGAAGTCTGGCCATTCTCGCTTCCAAGGAGCATTTCGGGTGCACCTCCTCCAGGACAGATCTGTTGTTCTTTTAGCGGTCCATGGTACTTTTAGCATTCTTCGCCAGCACCACAACTCAAAAGCATCAACTCTTCTTCAGTCTTCCTTATTCATTGTCCAGCTCTCACATGC